TACAATAATATGCTTAAATCTTTAACTGTTTCAAATTTTGAATGATTTTTATCATTAGGATCACAAAAATGTTCTATTTCTGCCATAGTAAACTCCCTTACTCTTAGTAATCCAGATCTTGGAGAAATTTCATTACGGAATGCATTTCCAATTTGAGCTGCTGCAAATGGCAATCTTTCTTGATTAAAGGCAAGTAGCCTCTTAAAATTTACAAAAATGCCCTGTGCAGTTTCTGGTCTCAGAAATCCTTTCACAACTCCAGAAGGACCAATCTGAGTTGCAAACATTAAATTAAATTCTATTGGTTCTGTTAAATCATTCCCAGAGATGGGGGATTTTATACTGAATTTAGATACAACTGCAGCCATTTCATCTTTTGTCATTCCATCCAGTTTAACTATAATATCTTTACATTCCAAACGTGTATTTTCATTAGATTTTTTATCACTAATCACTTTTTCTAAATATGATTTAATTAAGTGATCTAACCTGAAACATTCTCCAGTTTTAACATCTTTCACCATTAAGTCTGCAAATCTTTCTACATGTCCAGATGCTTTAAGTATAGGTTCTGGTGTTAAAATAGAACAATCTACTTCTAACATTTGTTCTTCTAACACGAAGAAATTTCTCCATGCATTTAACAAATTCGTTTTTAATGCACAACCCATAGGGCCAAAGTCAAATTGACCAGTAATTCCGCCATAAATTGCAAAAGATTGATCAAAGAAAAATCTACGTTTTAAAAGATCTTCCATTCTTGCTCTATCAAACATTGTTGCTTCTGAAAGATATAGCTCTTTTTCTTCCAATAATTTCTTTCGAATTTTAAGCTCAGCAACTGCTTTTTTTATATCCAATTCTGGAGCTCTGTCAGATTTAAGCTTTCGAACATGGTCTCCCTTTAATCATAAAACATAACAAAATGATATTACAATACTAGCATATAATTCACGAAAATTAAATAAAGAAGAAACTCAACAATAATATAAGAATAATACAAAATTAAATTTTTTAAATTCAATAATGTATTAACGTTTATGATAATAAAAATCGAGCATTCATTATAGAAATGAATCACAATCTCTTACACGTGCAAGTGCACTTAACGAATGAGTAATGAATATCCATATGGTACTTACTTGTTCTTTAACATTGTGTCGCAGAGGTGACAAGATTTCTTCAATCTTTGGATCTGACATGTCCTGTGTAATATATATTTTCACTTTTCGAATTTTTTTATTCGTACCCCACTGACTGAAGTCGGCTAACCTAGCGGTAACAGTAAATCTTCGGAATAATTGTTTATTAACTGCGATATGCTGACATATTACTTGAGACGCTCCTCTACACAGAAAGTATAAGTTACGTGAAATGTACTGCATTCGCCTTATGTACTTTTCACCTTATCGTCTAACAAATACACAGATTCGATGCCTGTTACTTGACAATCACAAGGTGCCAGTGTTAAGTAATACAGTACTGTTGGCGGCACATTTGATAGAATTGAAAATGATTTCATGTAAAATAAAAATGAACAAAATAAAATTAAACTTTCATAATTTATTATCATTCATAATTTATATTCTTTAAATAATGGGTCAACAATTCTTTATATATTTCGAATAAAGTAATTTCAGTAAAAGTAGAAGACAAAGAATATATATGTACTTACAAGTAGTATGATACTACTTTTATGTTATCATAATACAAAAACATCAATGCTATAAATAAAAACCATTTCTTATCCATAACGATATTCTTATATTTTTTCATAAAGAATATATTTCAAAACAAATAACATTGTATAGAATGAAAAAAAAATAAAAAATACACAGTATGACGCGCGTACGCAAATATAAGTTTATTTTTTT